GAGAGGTATGGCTGGCGCACCCGGCCGGAGCGGCTTGTGGAAGCTCCATGTATATTTGCGACGAAGGGTTGTAAAAACCAACTCCTGCGTGACGCGGCCGGGAGGGTCCCGCACTGCCCCCGTGCGGTGCCGGACCAGTTGTGCGCCCGACACCGTAGGCGCCGAAGCGACTTATTTTCGTCCTGCCCTTACCCTAGGGTCTAAACCCGATAATATGCCCGAACGATGTGTGTGCTCTGTGAATCAATGTATCGATGTGCATAGTCAACATCATGTATGTATTTCGAAACGAGAACGGGGTAAGCTGGATAAGACCCCCCCCAAGGTTCGGACCAAGCTCGAACCCGTGACCTTATAGCATGTAATCGAATGAGTGTACCAGGTGAATAACTAGCGAAAACGGCACGAACATGTGATATGCCTGACTGGGGAGATCGACAAAACACCCAAGGCCAACGTCCCCAAGCAGCCCATGTGAAACCCAGAACCAACATACAACACCATGAACAACTCTTGGGTGGTGCGCAGGCAGTGTCTGTAATAGTACCATGCGTCGGCCCAAGGAAGTGTATGTTTAGTCGTCCGTCAATCTAACTGCCTGCCGGTGTCCATGCGCAAGGCTGCAATTGAGTTTTGAACCCGCAACCTTATACCACCATGTGACGCCCAGAGACCTCACGCCCGACGCGACTTCTTGATCGGAGTGGGATGTGGGCCTGGAAGTGCAAAAAGGGGTGTGCCAAGGAATTTTGGGAAAGTGGGGGTGGAGTCCCAGGTCATAACTGAGATCTCCTGTGGCGAGGGTTCAGGGCATAGGTGCAATAGAGCTAAGGGGCGGGTTGCTTCTGGTCTGATGGCGGTCGATGTCGTGCAGCATAAGGCAGATGGCATGCGCGGTGCATCCAGGGTTGTCCGATCCGTCTGTCCTGGTAACGGTGGTTCGGAAGAGGCCCGTTCGTGAGGGCCGCGATTCCTATGAGTCGGACCTTCGGTTGCAGACACGCGGAGTCTTTCGGCACGTATTATGGTTAGGCTCCGTAGCTCCCGGGGTTCGGTGGTGGCTGCGTCGTCTGCAGTTTTAGCACGGCGTGCGGGGTCAGTACGGGGCGATGAAATTCCATGGTACCACCGTGAGTTGGTGATACGGGAGTAGGCGACGGAAGGGAGGAAAATTGGTAGTGACAACAACAAAGCCGGGGGATATGAAGTATTGCGTGTTATACGTAGTTGGGTAATCGGGACACCTTGAATCACTGGTTATGACACAACGAAACTCTCTCGGGCACAATCGGTTCTCGGTTAGGCAGGAAAATTCTGGGCATCTTTGCCTAAGAGATTCTCTTACCCAAGGTTCGAAGTACTCTGAGTCCCACGTGTCTGTCATTTTGTCATTGCGGCGTACGGGAAGTTTTCCACACGCATCTAACTGACAAGGGGATTTCCGATATGGTATCGGAGATTCTTATCAGCGTACGTGCGTGAAAGAAGGAAAACTTCCGCCTATTCGATACCGGAGGTGTCAGGTTCGTCAATGGTTGCGAATCGGCGGCGCGTGGATACGTGTAGGTCGCGCAAACCAGATCGCGCTTACACACAGCCCCACGAGGTGATCGCTTGTAACTGGAAAAGTGAGAGTCTAATTCCTCATGCAAAATCGCCACGTGGCGTGGACAACTACCCAACCATCTAATCACTCAGTGATCCCGCAAGCAATCGTTCCCGAGCATGCAGAGTGTCATTATAGATCAAACGTCAGAATTTCTACTATGCTTAATGGCGTATCAAAAGGGCAAGCAAAGACGATGACCCGACAGGAAAAAGGACAAATATATCATTCATTCATCCATTCATTCGACAAACACACAATAGCCGAGATCAAGATCAATCGCAAAACAAATGTGGGCAAAGATTTCGAAAACAAAAGAAAACGGGCGAGTCCCCCTGAGCCGAGATCAAAATTTATATACAAAAGTAAAGAGGGAGACAAAACAAAGAAAACTGCAAATCCACGTCCATCAACCTCAACTCCCTCTTCCTCTCTCTCTCTCTCTCTCTCTTCCGATGCGGACGGTTCGTCGTCACGCACCAACCCACGAAGTCGTCACCCCACTTAGTCCTCCTGCACCCGCCAGGCTCGCCCGCGCGCTACAGTCCGTCATAGCCCCACGTGTCAACCCCGCGCATTCGGCACCAGCTTGTCGGGTCGCCCGACTCGCACTTCGACTCACCTCTTACTTCGCTCGTGAGCCGACCCTCACTGATCGCGCTACCCCGAGCTTCCAGGAACTGGCTAAGAAAGCTATCTAATCGCGCAGCCGAAATTTATAGCGTGCATGCATGCGCGAAGACCACGAAATTGCAAGGACTTAGAAAGGAGATTAGGAGAGGGAGCGCCTACGTTCTTCATGGCCAGACCACGGCGTGGGGGACGTAGCCATTCGTCACGCATCGATCCGATTATGCAGCCTGCGGGCTAGACATCCACAACAAAAAGGAAAGGAGAGGGCGGGAAAGACGAAGCTCAATACAGTTACAATGGCGTTTGCCCAAAAATTACAGTTTCACACGAGATTAAGGGCGCCGACTAATCAGAGCTCCGTTGCAGCCGCAAAAAAAAGCGCGTAAGAAAGACAACGCGCGGCAAAAGAAATCCCGAATTCCTAAATTCCTAAGTTCCTAAACTTATTGCAAAAATAACTTTAATAAAACGCAAATTCCGAAAGGAAAATCCGAAATTCCGAGAGTCGTCAAGGCTCGACAAGATTCGAAAAGGAATTTAAAAAGAAAATTCAAAAAGAACGAAGCAAAATTCCCGCGCGATCTTCGCGCCTAAGACCCGACAACAAAACAAGAAAAAAGCGACGTCAAACATTATTAATCGTGCGTTTGTCGGCGCGACAGGCCATCTCGGGACTTGCCCGGCCCTGAACCCAGCCATCCGAAAAGAAGCGACGAAAAAGAAAAGACGAAGAAGCGAGGACACCGATGCAATTTCCCTTCGATCCCGATCTCCCATAATTGGCCCATCCTTCCCATCTCAGAACCCCTCATTGTCATCGCGCAGAAAATCGCGTGGAACAGAAATTGGTTCGTCACAACCATGCGCATTTCCAACCGGTGCTCTAACCACTGAGCCACATCAACTGGACAGCCATTGTTGATTATATTACCTGGAGGTACTCTGGTCTATGTCATCAGTAGGTTCCCAGTCGCTGTGTTTTTTTCTGTCATCATGCAGAGTGGCTCCAATCTAGGGCTTGAGCAGGTACACGGCCACCATCTGGCCCCATAACCCTATCATGAACTCGGCCCACTCTGGTCTATTTGTTATGAGAGGCACGCAATCCCTCCACTACGGTCCCCCCGTTCGGCCATCCCACCTGCAGCCCTAGCCCCCCTACAGCGAGGCCCTGCCCTAGACCCCCTACAGCGAGGCCCTGCCCTAGACCCCCTACAGCGAGGCCCTGCCCTAGACCCCCTACAGCGAGGCCCTGCCCTAGACCCCCTACAGCGAAGCCCTGCCCTATCCAGCCATGTGATCATCCGATTCACTAGTCCTACCCACCCGTCAATCCCCTTTCTCTCAGTAGCACTTGAGATCAACATGGCCTGACCCCACCCCCTAAAGAAAGGCCAGATTACTTCGCATCCTGCAACCGGTCCCCACCACTGATACCCCTGGCCCATCCCTTCGTGCGGCCCAGCTATATCTTGTCCTATATGATGTTGCACAATATCATGTGCCACATGTGTCATTTATCATGTGACACATGTGCCATGAGGGATCGACCAGAATCGAACCCCCGACCCCTTTCTGGCAGCAACTCGCTCCAACCCACTGAGCTACTACGCCTGCTGGGGTGCCACAACCGACTAAAGGTGGGCGTCGGAGGTGGAGAGGGCCACAGAATAGAACCCGCTCTCTCCCCTTTTTGACGCCAGAGCTCTAACACCCCCCCCCCTCGTCCAGTCCAGAGTTATTTTATCCGGCCGTCGGACTAATACAAAACCAGGGTTCGAGCTCAGGACCGTGTATCCATCGGCGGGCTGGCTGCGAAAAAAACAAAATTTGGCGCACACCCAGCTCCGCCCCCTACTGTAGGTGTGGGTGGGGGCCGGTTCTGACGTGCCACCGCTTGGCTGGACTTCGCGCGTACGGCGAGTGTCACATGGCAACAAGAGGGGATGGGATGAAATTCCCAATGGATGGTGGCGAAGTAGGCTCGGTTCGAATTGCCAACGAGCGCGAGTGCGGGGTTGTAGTGACTGAAAACGTGAGACACAGGGCATCGCCACATCACTCCTGATATGTGCAAAATGAGAATGAACTTACCCGCTTGAACATGACCAGATGCGCCGGCCACATTTTTGTCTTTTTAACACTTCGAGAGTGGTGTGGCGAGGCCCACAGAGCTGAGGGAGCGGGGTCCGGCCTGGTGTATGTGTCCATGTGCGTGTGTGTGTTTGTCAGCGACTGCTAGTACGGGGTAATAGTGATAATAATAAACGTGGGAGAGAGAGAGACGAAGTGGAGGAGGTCCGTCCCGCAAGAGAGAGAGAGAGAGGAGAGAGAGAGAGAGAGCTTGTTGAGGGGGGGCAGAGAGAGAGAGCTTGTTGAGGGTGGGCGGAGAGAGAGAGCTTGTTGAGGGGGGGCGGAGAGAGAGAGCTTGTTGAGGGGGGGGCGGCCATGGCGACAGGGTTGCACATGAGAGTGAGAAGATCACCCGGTGAGGGCAAGCTTGCATCGTCTTCTCCTTCGTCATTCTCTTCTCCTGCCCTCTGCCTCTTTTTTTTTTTTTTTTTCTTTTTCCCCCTCTTTATGTGATCGTCCACCCATTTCTTGCTTATTTCCTTACTCCGTGTTCGAGATCGAGTGTTGTTAACTACAAGAATTATTAAAAATAGAAAGTGAATTGACCTGGATGATCGTAATGGTAATTGGAAATGCACCAACTGGGCTATGGGCATCGCCACACCACTCTCGAAATGTGCAAAATGA